ATTACTGATTCTTCATCTGCTCAACTCAATTTTTTAAGATTTGAACGGAACAGCATTCAGGAATCACTTCCTGCGAGTGTTTTGCTTTTGCTTTTTGCCTAAACAGTTAGTGGTCACTGGAGGATCAGAGGCAGATGTGTCTGGAAAGGTACAGCCCTAGAAACCCACGACCACACATCCAATGTCAAGCTCCACCACACTGGGATATTTTGGAAGTAAAAACATAAAACTGGACAAATGAAAACAAACAGAACTACAAATGAAAAAACTCCCATGAAGTCTCTGGAAAGAGGAGGGATAAAGTGAGGGTCTAGCTGTTCTGCAGGGTCGTGTTTGATTAGAAGTGACAGGAACAGCAGCATCCACAGCCAGGGGCTGGTGTAGGCATGGAGGGGGGCCCATGTGGGGGTGCTACAACCTTGCCCCAAGAGCTGGGGACCAGAAAGGAAAAGGACACCTCTTTACATTATGAGTGTGATAGGGGGACACCCTGGGGGACTGTCCCACCACTCCCTGACTTCTACACTTCTCTCATTTGACTTCACTGTCCTTTGTTTCTTCTTCTTCACAAGCCTGTTTTCTCATCTGTAAAGAGGGGATAACCCAAGTGCCCACAAAACAAAGTCAACCATGAGAAATGCTTATTATATTCTTGACACTCAAGAAGCTCCACTGTTGGCTCATACCAATACCATTATTTTTGCTACTGGCCGTGCTACTCAACTGTTCTTACTGTGAATGGGTCCTCTTTCCCCCTGCCTGTCTGTTCCCAGCTAAGCCACCATTTCTTTCTTTCTTTTCTAAACCTGTAGATGAATCTTGTCATCCAATCCTGTTATTTTGGAGTGTCCTGGTTGTATGACTTTGGCATTCTCTAAGGAGTTACCCATGTTACCTAGAGGCTTCTGGAACACAACAGCGTTTCTTGGATCCCAGTGCTAGGATCTGTGGTAAGTCTCTCCCAGGTCCCATCACCTACCTCTGACCCATATGCCAGGTGTGGGGTGCAGGTACAGGGTCAGGTGTGTCTGTCTTCTATGGAAGGGCTTTTCCTGCAGCCAGTACTCACTGCTGTGTAGGAGCCGGTTGGAGAATCACTCTCGTCCATGAAAAATGCTGGGTTAAAAGATACTCACTGTGTCCAGAGAACGGGGCCCATTGGAGTCAGCGCATTTACTGTCTCCACGAAAACACTGCAAAGCAGCTACAAAGAGAAAGTCCCTGACATTGTGCCTTAGCTTCTTCCCTGCTCCCTGCTGCTCTGTCTTGGAGCTGTCTGCTTCCTTGCAGTCTGAAAGTTGCTTCTCAAAATGCTAATGACAAACATCTCCATCTGAGGATTTCTCACGGGGTTTACCTCTGCCTCTGTCTATCTTTGTCACCAATCTGGGCCTCCCTTGGGGCTGTAGGTCAAGGGTGCCAGAGAAAGTTGAGCTGATTTTGCTGCAGTCTACCTGTGGATGCCACTCACAAAACCATGAGGGCTGCACAGAAAGGCTGGGAAAGGCCGGGAAAGGCCAGAGATCAAGGACTTTCCAGGAGTCAAGAATATGCTCAGCCTGGGTGGTGACCTCCTGCCAGGATTCCTGTTTCCTGCAACAGGAAAAATCAAGGAAGCTGATTTAGCCTCTTCAAAACAGGTACTGCTCCTTGGCACTCATGCCTTTGACTTCCTGATGGCCTGGAATATGAGTCCTGGGCCTTAGCTGCCTTATTCGACAGGGAAGAGGGATTGGATGACTTATACGTTCCCTTGTCCTGCTGGCATTCTGTGGGACTCAGACATCTGACTTGGCACCTGTGGCCTTTGTCCTGGGCAGCAGCTCACCTTCATGTGCTGTCCTGAGGTCACTGGGGAAGGCTGAGCCTGGAGGGGAAACAACCCCTTTGCTTTCAATCCAGCCATCTTTCCCTCCAAGTATCATCAGCCTGTAGTGTTTCAGGACTTGGAATAGTTTCAGCTGCTTTTCCTGATCGCACAGCCCAGCCTATCAACAACACCAACAGGAGGCAAAGGGGAAAGTTTTCAGATGGAGCTCTTAGTCCTATTGGGGGAGAAAGCATGTGGCTTGGTTTCTGCTCAGGCATTTTGACTTTTATGTTGGGCTCAGTTAAAAATGACAGGCTAGGGCCTGTGTTAACAATTACTTTGCAACATCTTTATAAATAACTAGACTAGCTTGTGTATAGGTCTTAAAGAATATCTTGCTACTCTATTTTGACACCTAAATATTGAGTAAAATAAACTGGACTTTGCTTGAAAGAATTTCAAGTGATTTCCTTACAACTAAATTCTGCTCAGTAAGAGTGCATTCATGGCTTAGGAAAACATGACATTTTTCAACCTATTGCTTCATGAGCCTACTTCGATGAATGTGGTACTCTTAATGACTAGTAGAGTGTGCAGAGGAGAGAAAAGCAGACAAGCTAGAAAATGCCTTTTGAAGGAAATACACTCGCCTCATCAATGAGAAAATCTGGGTGTGATTTTCTCAGTTGAATTAAAAATCACATACAGTATCTCTTTCCTATAAGACACTGAGGGTGTGCTTCAAATTATACATAAGCCAAAGCCATCATTTGACAGCTCTTCCCATTGCCTTGCTCTTGGCACCCTGGTGAAATATCCTTGTGTGGCAGAAAAAAGAGCTCTTTTTCTGGCTGGCTTCCTTTCTCAACAACAGAAGGTTCTAGAAGGTTTAGCTAGTAGGCTAAGGCTCTGAGTATTGGCTGCCAACTTATACCCAGTTTCACCTACATACCTGGGCAATCAGCAAAGATGAAAAATTCTGAGATGGGTAACCTGGAAACATAACATGGGTAACCTGGAACAACCTGTTGTTCATAATTTGAACTTCAGTAAAGTGAAGTATTATCCATGCTTAGAGTAGAGCCTCTTCCTTGAGAGAACAGTTTATTCTCTCAGTTATATATTTTTCAGGGTTCTATTTTCAGGCCTAGTGTAATCGGTTTTCCTTAGAGGAGAACATCTGTAAATAGGCCATCACTCTGGGCTGGGTAAATCCCACAGTGCATTTAATCTGTTCTTTGTTTATTGACTGCTCATCTGGCCTCCAACACACAGACCAATGTGATGTCTCAAGCTGTGTATTTTCCCTTTAGATTCTGTTCACTTTAATTGCTGGGAGTACACATTGGTGGTTGGCTGGATCCAGGGAACTTTTTTGGCAGTGAATCACATGTTTCTTCTCCTTTTGCTTCCGAAGTCTTAAGGAGCCTGCTTGAGACCCTTCCTGCCTTCTAGCCCCCTTCAAAGACCAGTTTAAACTTGTTCCTTCTGCATAAAGCTCACTCCAGCTAAAATCCAGTGAGGAGAACAATTCAGCAAACTCCCTTGCTGGGGTGATGTCGCACTGCAGATTTCAAAAGGCAACTCCATGCTTTTCAACATACTTATCTAAGCTTAAACCTTGTACTTGCAGAATATACTGCTATACCCTTGAGAGGTCCAGTTTTGCATTATTGACACTGTACTGATGCAGTTTTTAGGGCATAAATTTCTTATAAGGAGCAAGTCTGCTAATCTGGCTTAGAATAATGACCAATGAGATGCTACATGCAGGCAGATCAATTAAATATTTTGATGGCAGCCCACACAGCCCTGTAAATCCTTGATATATTCATTCATACTCTTCAGCAGTTCTGAAAAGCATATCAGGGTGTGGTTTTCTCAGTTAAATTAAAAATCACATACAGTATTATCTTTCCTATAAGACACTGAGTACTTGCTTCAAATTACACATAAAAAAAGGGGGGGGGGGATGACATCTATCACTACTCACCCCTTTTCTACCCTGCAGTTTTCTGCTGATACACACACACACACACACACACACATATATAGAGATTTTTTTTTTTTTTTGAATGACAGTGTACCCAGTTGGAACTGGGAGGAACTGTCTATTTTTAATCTTGTAAAAATATGTATTTCTTAAATGGAGAACTTGGTTTGGTTTTGATTTATTGATTTTATTTATTTATTTGGTTTTGATTTATTTGTTTTTACTTTTCCTTCAGTGCCTTGTCAGGATGCAAGATAAGCAAGGACAGGCACTGAATCAACAGATGCCTAAATTCAAATGTAAAAGCCAGAGGCAGAGTCTGGGAAGAATGAAACATTTTTCCTGACACAGGTTGGTGTGCAGAGCTACTTTCTCATGGGTTTTGCTTCCCCTGGGACACAGGCACAGCCAGCATGGTAAGGAGCAATTCCATTTTTCTAGCACTTTCTCCCGTGTATGTTCCCAAGTGAATGCTAGTCTCCTTTAAATGTACACATACCTTGATAAACTCCACATAGAAAAAAATGAATCACCCCATCTGAGTTTTCCTGGGGTTCAAGAGGATATAGGATTTCTCTGCTGCATCCCCTACATTTAAACATGGGTTGGATTTCACTGGGAACTATGAAATGTTTTAATATGTCACATGAGCGAGTCAATACCCCAAATTTTTCTTAACATCAGAAATGGAAGAGTTTTCCTTTCCTCTTAGGTGAGTTAAATGATGCCTCAAGTCATAATTTCTGAGAAGACAACCCCCAACATTATTTAAATTGCTAGGGAAGGGGGGGGGGCTCATAACTGAGTGATAATGTTTAAGGTTCTGTCCACTAAGAAAAGGTGAATTTTTGAGAGAGACGCTGAAATTTAAAAAAATTATGAAAAATGTATTGCTTGTTTTTCACTGGAGAAAACTAGTTAAAAATGGCCTATTCCCAAAATTTGACCAAAAACTAATTCCTGGAATTGCCCATCTCCCTTCCCGGATCCCATCCACTGGCCTGCAGCGCTTAAATTTTCCAGTTGATGCCTGAACTTGAACTAGTTACCTCTTTATTTGGGGTTATTTTACAACTCAGGAAGTCAGGTTTTAGAATGTGGAATCCCAATCATTTAATCACTAACTTTCATCCCGAGGTTCTAAATACACATAAGGACATTTTTATTAACAAACAAATCAGACAAAAAATGTAAAAATTAGGCTTTCAATGTTTTATTTTGTTGATTCTGTATAGCTCAAGGGAACAAAGTTAGAGGTAAAATAAAATGCCAGTTAAATTCGGCTACTACCAACAACTAAAAATTTGCAGTATAAAAAATGCAAGCTGCTGATAAATCATATAATAATCTTGGGTAATTGGTTAACGCCTTAACGGATCAAGAAGGGTGGGTCATCTATGTAATTCTTCAACGGCAAAGCGGCGAGAAGCACGACCGGTGGGACGTGCTGGTTGAGGATTCCATACGCCGGAGGGACAGAGAGACAGGGTAGAAAATGCCACCGGCAGGCCGCGATAACAACAGCTGGGTCCGCGGAGCAGTAGGGGTTTGGAGTCCTGGTCCTCCTCCTTCACGTCTTTTAAAGAGAACGTGAATTAGCTAGCTTCAGATGAAGGAGACTGCGAAAAGCCTTGCTACCTATTTTAGTAAATCCGGAACACAAATGACATGAAGGGTGGTGGGTTTTTGCTTTTAAGCAAGATCAAATGTTGATTATGCTACCTTTGGGGAAGGGGAGACGAAAGGTGAATCTCGAGTTCTACGCTAAGAAGACCCCAGGATTTAAGAGCAAATACTCCCTGCAACGAAACACCTAGTTATGCGAGTCTCAAAAATAGCATTCCAAGTCTGGCTACCAAAGCCGATGGACTTCCCACCCCCGCATACCCATCAACCCTGGAGCTGTCACCGCCCCCACCCGCGGCACCGCGATGCCAACGCTGAGCCACTGAGGGTCTGTCCAACTGCGACACCCGGATGGTCTGCGCGGACTAACTGGTCTTTTTCGGCCTCCCAGGTCCGGTAGTTTCCGTTGACAAGCTTGGGTTTGGCTGTTGGAAACTGTGCGCCCGTGGGCTCCAGCAAACAACTCCTCTGCGGGTCTGCGCTGTTCGAAATCCCCCCCAAGGCCTGGAGGAGGACTGCTCCCTGGAGGTCGCACTCTGGACTGGTCTTTCGCCCCACCCAGAGGGATCCCAACAGAACACAGAGCCTCCTAAAATTCACACCAGTCCTGCGAGGCGCACAGCTCTAGGGACAGGGAGAGAGAACTCGCTGGGTGATGGGCACTTTCTGCCTTAAACGGATGGAATCCACCTAGAACCTAAACCGCCTAGATGTTCCTTGTAACATCTGCTGGGGGTGCTTTAATTTCCTGGGGGAGTAGGGCTGGGGAAGAAGGCGCTGGACAGTCCCTACCTCTGGGCCAATGAATTCGAAATGCCCTTCTTACTCGGGCCCCCTCTCTCCCTGGACTCAGAGGCACAGGGGTGCGGGAAGCTGGACGGCAGGAGGCCGGGCAGAAGTCCCATCTCGCCCAGGGCCCCGGCAGGGCCTCACTTGGAGAACTGAGCCTGTACCGCTGCCAAGCCCAGGCCGGCGGGGACAAGGTGCTGGAACTTGCAAACCGCGCAGGTGCAGAGGCCGGGGCCGCCCGCGCCACCGCCGGGAAGCGCGAACTGTCCGCACGGCGGCTCGTCTAGGGCCAGCGACAGGTACTTGGCGGGGCGCAGCGCGTCGGGGGGCCCCACGGCGCCGGGTGCCAGCAGCACTGAGCCCGGCGCGGCAGCCAGCAGGGGCAAGCCAGCCAGCAGCAGGCGCGGCACAGCGGGCCCGGCGCCCTCGCCCAGCGCTCGGCGAAGCTCCTGCAGCGAGCTGCCCAGCAGCAGGATGTAGTTGCGGGCGAGCAGCAGCGTAGCGATCTTGGACAGCTTGCGGCCGGGCGCGCCCTGGCAGTGCGCCGCAGAATAGGGCAGGATGACCTCGCGCAGTGCGTCCATGGCCAGGTTCAGGTCCTGCATTCGCTTCCGCTCGCGGCTGTTGATCTTGCGCCGCAGCTGCTGCTGCTGCTCCTCTTTGGCGTCAGCCCGGGCACCGCCGCCAGCGTGCGCGCCGGACCCCGGCCCGTTGCCTAGCTGCTCGGCTGGCCCCTCTGGCTTCTCGCGCGCAGCCTTGGGGAGGAGGGGTGCCGTCGTGGAGGAGGAGGAAGTGGAGGAGGAAGAGGAAGAGGAAGGCGGCTGCCGATAGCCCACCAACTCGTACAGAGAGGCCCCGAGCTGCAAGTCCCCAGGCCGCTGGGGCCGAAGCATGGTCGCGGGGGCCGCGTTCACGCGCGCCTGGGAGACCGCATAGTACATCTGGGGGGCGATGAGGGCGGCCTAGGGCGCCCTTCAGGAACGCCCCGCCGTGGGCCCGTCAGTAGGCCGCCCCTCCCCGCGGACCTGCGCGCGGGTGGCCGACGGCAGGGCAGCTACCGGCGCCCGACCCCTTTAAACCCGGCTTGGGAACCTGCGGGGAACGCGGTTGGAGGGGCTCAACCAATCGAGGAGCGAGGCCGGGAACAGACGTGTGTTCATTGGCTGCCCGAGCCCAGGCCGGCGCGGAAGTGCCGCTGGCACAGCTCAAGGAGGTTATTGTGAGCGCCGGGCCTAGAGCCGCGGGACAGGACCCTGGAGGGGATGGGGGACGCCTTTCGGGTGAAGCTTAGCTCTGCAAAAAGGAGGGTGGCATTTGGTCAGGTTGAAAGGCACTTGTCTCCCTCCAGCTCCCAAATGCGATCACTCTTTTTCTTGTTAAACGTAATACGCGTCTTCAAAACTGAAACTGTATAGCTCTTAAGAAATTTCCCACCCCCCACCCTCGACTCCTGGCAACCACCATTCTGTGCTCTGTCTCCATGAATTTGTTCTGCTCTAGGAAGGTCATGTAGGCAGAATCTTACAGTATTCGTCTTTTAGTGACTGTCTTATTTCGCTTAGCATGTCTTAAAGCTTTATTCAGGTAACATGTATCCGAATTTCCTTTCTTCTTAAGGCTGAATAATTTATTCTGTTTTCTGTGGCTACTACCTTTCCTTTATCTGTTCATCCAAGGATGGACACTTTGGTGGCTTCCACCTTTTGGCTATTGTGAACATGGTACTGTGAATATGGACGTAATGTGTTTTTCCATTGCATCCTAATACTACTGAATGACAGTAGTATTAGGATGATTGCTCCCCATAAATCCCACCCCCAGCTCTTCCATTAAGTCTTTAGGGACTAAGGAACCTTTGTGGTTGGTTTTTCTCCTCCCAAAAAGGATGTGTGTTAATTTTATCAGTGACTTGGTTCTTGCTTAAGCAAAACTCACTCAGAAGTTGGTTTCTTATCAGAAACAAAACATGCACACACTCTTATCTGTTGAGGATGGAACTGAATCTTTCTCTTCCCCAAATAAAGTAGTATTAGTTGGTGGCTGTGGAAGTTTTCTTCTGCCAGCATCAATGTATGCTACTGCAGCTCATCATCAGAGCATGATGAAATATCATGGGGAAGAGGTTTTTGGTATCTAACCCTCTACCATCCAGTATGGTAGCCACTAGCCACAAGTGACTGTTTAAATGTAAATTAAAATATACTTAAGTTAAAAATTTAGATTTCCAGTTGCCCTAGCATTGCTTCTAATGCATAGTAGTGGCAGCTACCTAATGGTTATCCACTGCATAGCGCAGAAGTAGAGCATTTCCATCATGGCAAAAATTTCTACCAGATGGTGCTGATCTAAACAGAAAGAAGATGAGCCTCCTGCACTTTTGTTCTCTTTGGTGTAAGAAGGATACTGTGGAATCTCTGCTCCAGGAGACTATTGGTAGTGCCTCCTAGTTTTCAGGGCTTCATTGTCTCATTTTCTCCCACCAATATTTATCCCATAGGCTCACTCTGGTCTCTGTTTCCAGCCTTTAGCTGTACCTGTAACATTGGCCCATGCTTTGGGTTCAGATCCAAGACAATTTTCTTCTTAGCCTTGGTGATTTCCCACCTTCCTCCTCTCATCATGTGTGGCACACCTTTGATAACATTTCTCTATAACTTAGATTGTCTTACCATGGTTATCATCTCAGCACTCAACTGGGATTGTTTTGAGGGCAGGGACCACCTGTTTATTTCTGCATCCTCCCAAAGCCCAGCACAGTGGTTTGCATCTGTGGTTAGCTTTTGGGGGGCACCTCATATCCAAACTACAACAGCTTTGCTTAAGGAGAGTGAAGAAGATTGGCAGGAAGGGCTGAATCCCCAAATAAAACCCGTACTGGGCAGGAAAGAGAGAGACCAAGGAAATAGCCTTGAAAGTTTCAAGCAGGTATCTAAGGATGCGTCTGAGCACTAGCTCACAGGACCACCCCTTGAAATGTGCAAACTCCCATCTGTTCTTTCTTCCAAGAGTTTCCTGTAGGTTTTATAGAGAGGGAAGGAAGCTGATTCCCAAACTCCAGAGAGGTCTGGCTTGACCTGGTGAGGGGGCCTCTATGTTAGTCAGATTTGCATTGCTGTGACCAAAATTCCTGACAAGAACAACTTAGAGGAGGGAAAGTTGACTTTGGCCCAGTTTTAGAAGTTCAGTCCATGTCCCACTGGGTCCATTGCTCTAGGCCCAAGGTGAGGCAGAACATCATGGCGGAAGGCTATGATGGAGGAGCACTGTTCTATTCATGGCAGACAGGAAGTAAAGAGAGGAAAGGGGAAAGAGTACCATCCAGTCCATTCAAATCAAGATGGACTGATTAGGTTACAGCTCTCACAGTCTAATCAGTCACACCTAACATCCCTGCATTAACCCAGGAGCTTTTGGGGGACACCCCATATCCAAACTATAACAGCTTTGCTTAAGGAGAGTGAAGGAGATTGGCAGGAAGGGCTGAATCCCCAAATGAAACCATACTGCACAGGAAAGAGAGAGACCAAGGAAATAGCCTACAGAGTTCTAAGCAATGAAGTTGAATACCTTGCAATCATTCCACCTTTTGTTAAAGCAGTTTGTTTTCATAGACACCTTTTCATTTGGTTCTCATGAGACTCCTATTCTTGGGCTTTTTTCCTTACTCCTCCACCACCCCCAGGGCCGAGGACTGAACTCAGTTTGGCTTTTTTGATCCCTGCTGTATGTGGTAAAGCTGAGGCTCCCAGGGGTTGGTAGGTGGCTGTGTGCCTTCATACAGGAGAATCAGCAGTTGGCTTCCTATATTCCTTCTAGCTGGACCAGGAGAAGGCCTTGTTGGGGAAAGCAGGGGACTGGGCGAAAGACCTAGGCCCAGCCAGTATTGACAAGCTGATGGGTTCCAGCCATGATCCTGAAGATCCAGTCCCCAGAGCTGACCCTTGCATTCAGGATTGCTCTCTCCAGTAGCTGAAGTACCAGATTGAGGCAGGACCAGCAACCTTTCCCTCTGGCTTCCTCCTCTGACCACACCCTAGCAGGAGCCCTGGGGTTTTATCCTTCCCCAGGAAGAGGAAGTGAATGAGGAAGACAGAACCTAGAGGCTGAGTCAGAATCCCCTAAACCACACCTTCAGCTTTTCCCACCCACAGGCAGGGGCACCCAGGAATCAAAGAGATGGAAATGCACACCCTTCCTCTCTCCCAGATGCCCCTTTATTGTGGGTATCCTTGGGGGTTCCTTCTAGACCTTGGCCTCATCTAGTCTTTTTCTTGGAGAAGGAGGCCCCCCTTCTACCAAGGATGCTGTCTGTTGGACATATTGGTCAGTGTGCATGTAAATGTTCCGGTGGAAGGCCCCAGAAGAAAGTTCCGGGTGGCCGTACGGACCCAGCATGGGCACAGGATTTGGCACTCATTGGAGCTGGTGACTTGGATGGCCCCTTGAGCTGGGCCGGAGCTCCAGTGGCATGCAAAGCATGACAGCTGGCAAGGGCTAGTGAGTCATTGTGGCCGCTGGCAGGGACCCCATGGGCAGTCTCAAGGGGAGGCAGCTGCTGCGGCCTCCCACATTCAGGACATACTTGGGGAGCACTTGCATCAGCCATAACAACCGCTCTTGTGTCTGCCCAAAGGGGCTGTGCGTGGGCATTGGTGCCGGTTTCCACCCACGGAGGTGTGTGTGTCAGACTTCCTTTGCTTCACATAGAAACCTAGGGGCTCCCCACCACCCACGCCCGCCCTGCCTTTTGTCAGGAGGCTGGAATCAGAGATGTGCAAATGTGCTCTGGCCAAAGCAGGGCCCATCTTCTGTAAACATAAGGATAGACTGTGCCACTACAAAGCTGGCCACCTCTCAAAGACACTGTTGTCACTTAAGACGTTTTCCTCTCCAGGAAAGCCAGTTAAGTATAGAAGGTTGTCTCTGATAAAATGTGCTGTTTAAACTGGCGGGAGCTGAGACCTGCGACAGAATAATGAAGTTTGCTTTCTCAAGTGCTACTTTCTTCTAAGAAGGTCAAAATTATTTGGAAAGTTTAAATTACTCAGTAGACATTGAAATTCACACCATCACTATGAGAAGTGGAGGTCACATCCAGTGTCAGCCCTATATCAATATCTGCCGTGCCATGCAAATATAACTCTGTCTGTTATACAAAAGGCAGGGAGGATCTGTAGAGAGGGGACCTTAGCTTCTTTCTGGATTTCTCTCTTCTGAGGATTGGAGAGTAATAGTAGAGAGAAAAAGTGGGGAAGAAAAGATGGATATAGTGGGTAATTCTTCTTGGATAGAGAGGAACTCCTTGGATATCCCTTCTCATCTGGGGACCCTCCCACCAAAATGTAAGTTACCCTTAGAAACATTTCAGGTTGAAGGAAGATTCCAGGTTGGGAAATGTGAAAGAACATGAGTGGTGTTGATTTCAAAAGAGAATACAAGTTAATCAAATTGTTAAAACTGATACAATGTTTATAGTTACTTTCCATGTCCTTTGGAAGCTTTATAATTGTCACAGTTGTCTTTATTTGCAACTTGGAAGGGTAGGGAAGGATGCTGTGTTCTCTGATTATAACACTAATGTGTTTTGCAAATATTATGGGAAGGGTTGTTTTATGTTTAATGAATATCATTTGGACCTGATTTCAATACACTGTACTATACTACCTAAGATGATTTCTGAGTCCAAATTAGTCTTGTGAGTGTGTGAGAGAGAGAGAGAGAGTGTGTGTGTGTGTGTGTATGTGAGAGAGAGAGAGAGAGAGAGAGAGAGAGAGAGAGAGAAGGGGGCAGGAGGGAAAGAGGGGGAGAGAGAGAGAACTGAAAGGAAAGAAAACTAGGAAAGAAATCAGATGGCATCTATGTATTGGAGAGGTTCCTTCTAATAACAAAAACTTGATTTAGCTATTGGTGGTATAACACAAACAGATGGGCGCAGGCCGCACCTCTTTCAAACTCAGGGTGAACTAATAGGAGTAGAGATTTTCACTGCTTCTGTGAACACCAATCACTGAAATTCTACATGTTACAAGGACTGTATAGA